AAGGATTAAAATACAGTAGTCCCCCCTTACCTGAAGTTTCACTGTCCACGGTTTCAGTGGAAAGTCAACCATGGTCTGAAAATGTTAAATGGAAAATTCCAGAAATAATTCATCAGTTTTGAATTCAGTACACTTCTGAGTACCTCACTTCATCTCCTCATATAGGGATTATATAATCTCATGTCATGAAAGGTGAGTACAGTACAATAAGCTATTTTAAGAGAGAGAAAGACCACCATACTCACATAACTTTTATGACAGTATATTGTTATAATTGTTCTATTTTATTGTTGTTGTTAATCTGTTACTGTGCCTAATTTATGAATTAAACTTGATCTTAGGTTTGTATATATAGGGAAAAGCAGTATGTATAGAGTTCAGTACTATCTGTGGTTTCAAGCATCCACTGGGGTTCCTGGAATGTATCCCCCACAGATAAGTGGGGAGGGGCTACTGTATGATAAATAAGTTCTACTTAGCTCAGGAAAGACAGGAAATTTCCTTAGGATAGTGGAGGGGGTGTGGGGGAGGCTGATTTGATGCCACTTCCCAATTTAACCAATTAAGTTTCAAGTTATAACATGTTCAGAATATCAGAAGTTGGGCCCCTGGCACCCCAACCATTGGGCAAGTTCCTACCAGCTCTGACTCAGCCCCCGTGTATAAGTGGCAGTAGGATGACTGGGGTAATCTATGAATTGTTTTTGTACCTTCTCTCTAGTTCCATTGCTGTGTCATTCTGCTCATGAGTCAGTGTCACATGATCTTATTTATTGTAGCTTTACAGTACTTTCTAACACCTGGCAGGCCAGTGTGCCCTAGATTTTCTTGCTATTCAATAGTGTCTTCAGTCTTCCTAATTTTGAGTATCATTTCATCATGTTCTTTGAAATCCCCTTTGAATTCTGACTAAAATTGTGTTGACTTTATGGATTACTTAGAAATGAGATGGTATCTTTCAGTATTGGTTTTCCCAATCAACAATGTATGTCTTCCTCTTTTTTTCCAGTCTTCCTTTATGTCTCTCACTAAGATTTTATGACTTTCCTGATTTTAATACTATTTATTTTTAGATTAAACCCTGGATATTTTGAATTTTTTCATTGCCATTATGAGTAGATTGTTTTTTCAATGCTAAATCTTCTAATTCCAATTAATTTGGAGACTCACTGTTTTGTTATATACCACCCTAATGAGCTCTTTTATTTATTCTAAGATGTTTGGGGTTGACTTTTGAAGATAGAAAATCATACTTGGTTAGAACTTCCATAACAATCCATAATATCAGCGACTGCTTGCATTCTTGTTCACTACTTTAATGGGAATGCCTTTCCTTTTTCAATTAAGATAGGGTGTGTGTGTGTTTGTGGTAGTGATTCATCATGATGGAAAGGGACCACCTTCTAGTTCTACAGAAACTATCTTAAATATCAGGAATGGATGTTAATTTTATTTGAAAACTTCTCAACATCTGCAAAGAATTTTTTTTTCCCTAACCTATTAATAGATTTCCTGATTTTGAGCCATGCTTGTACTCCTGAAATAATCCTTATTGGTTGCAGTGTATTTTTCTTAAAGTGTTAAAACCAGTTTGGTGGTACAGTAATACCTTGGTTTGTGAACATAATTCGTTCTGGAAACAAACTACTCAGATTGCAAGACATCACTCATTTACCACGTTAAAATGTATTAGAAATATTTTCTCATCTTGTGAAACATTAGCAAACCAAGTTACTCATAATCCAAGGTTTTACTGTGTTTTTCTTTTGGATTTGGCACCTGTATTGCTGGAGGCTGGGTGGCTAAGAGTGAGAGCCCTGCACTGAAAATACTAGGATTTGAATCTTGACTTTTTATCCCCTTGGCTATCAACACTACTTCTCAGACGAAGATGCCCAATGGTTATTTCTGCTAAGCTCTAGATTCTTAAAAACAATTGCCTAAATTGGTACTCCCACTTGAGTGTCTCATAGATGTTGCAAAATTAATGTGTCCAAACTAAAACTCTTGGTTTTCTCTCCCAAGCATGGCCCTCCACCAGTTTCCCCTAATTTGGTAGGTGGCATGGCCACCATCTACCTGGTCATGAAAACCACAAACCTGGTTAACTCTCACTCTTACATCCATTCTATCAGCAAGTCTTAATTGGGTCTTTCTGCAAAATACATCTAATTTATTCACTTCCTCAGCACCATCGTCACCGTCCCACGTCGCACCACCCTCTTCCTGTAAATGTTTTCTAACTAGTCTCGCCATTTCCTTTCTTGCCCCCCTAAATTTTCTTCTTTGCACAACAGTCAGGGTGAGCTTTTTAAAAAACAATCCTATCGTGTTACTCTCCTAAGTCCCTTTAATGGCCCCCGACTGCACTCAGAGTAAAATGGAAACTTTCTCTTAAGGTGCGTTAGGCCATGGTAATTTGGCACTCATCCACTCCAGTCTCATCAAGCCACCGGCCTTCTGTCTCATCAGGCTAGAGATATATCTCCTTTTTGGTGCTTGAATCCACCAAGCTAAATATCTGATGCATCATTCTACCTTCAGCCCCTAGCACAATACTAGAACCTTAGAAAGCACTTAATACATATTTATTGAATGAATCAATATGTTATTATACTGTAAACATTACATTATCATATGTAATTTTTGACAACTTTTTTTGTCCATTTCTTCGATCAATTCAAGTTTTCTATTTCTTTAAAAACTGACGCATACTACTTATTCCATAAATATTTGTTGAATGAATTAATTCT